CCCTTCCTTCTTCTTCCCCCAGCTTTATATACTGAGCATGACGTCACATGGTATGGAATATCCCTTTGGCCAGTTGGGGTCAGCTGTCCTGGCTGTGCCCCCTCCCAGCTTCTTGTGCACCTCCAGCCTTCTCAGTCGGTAGAGCATGGGAAGCTGAAAAGTCCTTGGCTAGTGTAAGCATTACCTAGCAACAACTAAAACATCGGTGTGTTATCAACATTGTTCTCACCCTAAATCCAAAACCCAGCACTGTACCAGCTACTAGGAAGGAAATTAACTCTATCCCTGCCGAAACCAGGACACAGTGGAAAATTGCCTCAACACTTCAAGAGAAGCTTGGGTTTTTTTTCTCCTGTAGGCTAATGATATCCAGCTGGAGGTGGGGTATTGCAACATGATATTCATTGCCAGGAAGCCTCGGGGAATAGAGCAGGTGATACGGACGAAGGATTCAAAATGCAAGTTTTTTTAAGAGAATAAAGTTATAACTAGCAGACAACAAAAACTGTTGAGCTAGAGAGAGGATCAGATAGGGACTTCACTTCTTTTGTACATTTATATATTTCCTTCTCTTCCTGCAGGACTATACTTGGGAAAATCATGGCTTTTCCCTTGTAAACAGGCTTTATTCTGATATTGGGCATCTCCTTGATGAGAAGTTTCGGATGGTATATAACCTCACGTATAACACTATGGCAACACATGAAGATGTTGATACAACTACGCTAAGAAGAGCTTTATTTAACTATGTCCACTGTATGTATGGAATCAGGTATGGATGAAAATCCCCTGGCTTAGGAGTGCATTTTAAACTGTGTAAACAGAATGAAAAACGAACCATGTGAAAAGCACTATTTTAGACTCCGGGTGTTAAAGCGGAGATGGTGCCTCAGTCTGGAAGTTAGAGTGGTTTTGCTGGCATATCAGTAGAACTTTTGCTTCCAGTGGAGAAAACGATTATGAATCAGGATGGAAATTATTACAGAAATGTCTTCTCTGAAGCCAGCCTGTATCCTTTGTTCAGAAAAGACAACATCCCAGTCCTAAGCCTTTAAGATCCTCTGTTAACAGTTGGTTTTCTAGCGTTTATAATAAACGCTCCGATTCCCAAACTTAAGAACATAATGCTGCAAAAGACCATGCTTTTAAAAACTTATATCCAACAGAGTGATTGCCTGTGTTATTTAGGTATGATGACTATGATTATGGAGAAGTTAATCAGTTACTTGAACGCAGCCTGAAGGTTTACATAAAGACAGTGACCTGCTACCCAGAGAGAACTACCAAGCGCATGTACGATAGTTACTGGCGTCAGTTCAAGCACTCGGAGAAGGTACGTATTTCAAAGCCAAACTGACTTCATAGAGACCCCCACGCTGTTTAAAAATGAAAATATGGAAGCACCTAAAAATGGCAGTATCTGTCAAACGAACTGTTTTTAACCAGAGAAAAACAAATGAGATTAATTCATTGAGTGTTAGATATCAATTTTACAAAAATACTTAGTGTTCTGGAAATACTGATTCTGTTTTTATTATTATTTTGAGTGACTTCTCCATAAAATTGAACTGACAACTGTAAAAGAAATGTGGATAAACTTGGGAATGCAGAAGCGGTCAACTATGCCAATACTTGGGATTTGGGGATCAAAACAAACCTTAACTCATATATATATATATATATATATAAATGAAAAGACATTTACTGACAATTCACACACACACACACCCTCATTCAATAGTGCTACTCACTGGTGTTTTTCATCAATAAAAATGTCAATGTGTCTTCAGATATCCAAGTTAAATGCTTCCTGACAAGGGTTCAGTGCTTGTGTGCCTGCTAGCCTATCTGGCATGTAAACTGTTCCTTATTCTGTGCTCCTATATAGCGGTCACAGGTGGTAGTAAAGAAAACAAAATATCATTCATAAAGAACTAATACCATTAGGGTACAAAAATGGTTTTATTGGGACTTCTCAGATGGAAGAGTGCTTAAAGCAGCAGTTGAGGCTAGTTCCTTGCAGCCCTAGGATGTTGTCTAGTATTGGCATGCTACACAGCTGTCTCAGGAGGAACTGGAGTCCTGCAGCAGGGTACAGGGAGAAAGGACATAGTTTCTTGCAGCGGTACTTTACTAAAGGTTAGAAATTTTAGCCTAAATGAATAAATGATGATGCATTCAGAGGTGAACTAAATGGCTGATTTAATTTTTAACAGGTTCATGTCAATCTACTTCTAATGGAAGCTCGTATGCAAGCTGAACTTCTGTATGCCCTTCGTGCCATAACTCGTCACTTAACCTGAAGCATTCGCTGGGCAGGAGCAAAGGAGTTTTTACTGAGTATGTAAAGACCTTTCAAAATAGATACACACCAGAAGCTGTTTGTGATGTAGCATCAGGTTATTCAATTCTCTAGTGTCAAAGTTTAGCCGTGCTTCTTGACGGCTGTAATGTGCAATGACATGTTTTATTTTCTTGATGCTTAACATTACTAATGATAACAAAAGTAACACTGAGGAGCACTACTCTGCATTGTTTCCGGCTGGATTTCTGCGCAGTGGTCAGGATCCTGAAACTGTTTTTATTATATTCAATCTTAGCGCTTTGTTCTTTAAGCACCGGAGTGAAGTGCTTAGAGACTTCTTTTTCCAAGCAATCATTTTTCAGATTAGTGGAGTCCAGCAGAAGATCGGTTCTGCCTGTCCTGAGAATGTACCACCATGTCGTGACTCGTGACAGAGACGCGCGGGCTGCGTTGCATTGAATTGCCCACTGGATTCTTCTGTGTCTCCTGGAGACTGCTTGCCAGTCACCGTCTTACTACAGCAATTGAAGGTGATGCAAGATGTGGATGCAAACATTGAGCACACTTTAATGTGAAATTAATCATGATAAATCCTACAGCATGCTACTGAAGTGCGAAATTCATCTGCTTTGTCGTGCCCCTTCCCAAGAGAAGAGGCCTCACGATTTGCCATTTCAGCCACACTTACTGTGTTTCAGTCATGCATAATCTTGTTTTACTGACAGTCACCCTCAGTTGTCCTTACAATATCCATGCTCATCACATGTTGCAATTTGTTTAGTTGGCACCTATAAAGTTAATACACAGGCTGACCAAAAACAGGGTTGTGGGTTTTTTTGCACTCTCTTCTTTCTCAATGTTTTAACTAAGGAAAGTAAAGGAAGGCTAGCATATCTGTTCTTTCATATTGGATGTATAGAAATTTATTTCCCATAACTTCTTCATAGCATGAAATTTTAATATTCAAACTTTTAAAAGTTTCTATGCATTAGTGTGAGTGAACAAAAGAAAAGTGCAATATTTAAAAAGAAAGCAAGCTTTTTTCCCTATCATGCCACTGCTAAAGTGTCCTTCTTATATAGCCATAAAGAAATTTCAAAACCAAATTTCTTTATTGTCTAAGGCCTAGCAGTTTTGTTTTAGCTTTTACGGCTTAAGACAACCTGATACTGAGATGCCAAAGCATCCCCAAAACAAAGCATTCTTGGACAACCGGTAATATTGGGGAAGGGAAGAAATAAGCTGCCAAAAATGTCACACTTTTGTGCTGTTTTCTGTTGCTTTTGACTAATTTTTAAGAGCACAAAATGTTGATATTTATAGCTTTATTTTGTATTGCATTTAATGAACCAGTGAAGTGCCTAAAGAGATGCTTAAACTTACCCGGTAGGATGCAAGTTGTCACTGCTTCAATTTTTGTCTGTTGGTTTGGACTTTTCATATTTCTTTGAGGAGGGTGACCTTTATTTCTGTTGCATACATTCAAAACTAACTGGATAGGTTTATTTTTAATGTTCGATTGGATTGTAGAAGTTGATACAGGATTATTTTCCATTGGTGATTGCAGAATAGTTTAAAAAAATACTAGCAGTCATATTTTAACACTTTTCATTGACAAAATTATGGACCAGTACGCTACTAAAGTTAGTTTTCTCTTTTCTTCCCTTTTCCTGATACCTTGCTGTGACTTCGCATGTTGGTTTTTTCGCTTTATCTATCTGTTCCAGATTGGAAAGCTAAATGATTGTACACTTTTCTGCACTTTCAGACTGCAGACTCTGCATGTGAAAACCTTTTGAGGAAGAAATCAGTAATTCTTTTTTTTTTAATGAAACGTTGGCTATTTAGAAAACTACCCAATAGACAGCATTGGACTCTCTTCTAGAGAGAGCATTGGGTAAAACATCAGATTTATTTATCTTGTATAGCTAACTGCAAAGATTTCTCAGAAGTGTTGAGATGCTCATATGTATGAACTTAGATTAACTTCCTAAGTTGTTATGATGCTTTTTCCTCCCTCTTGTGACTGTAGTGGCCATACCTAATGGCTTTTGTGCATAAAACAGTTCTGCTGAGAGAAGTTTTCATGCAATACTTTTGCTTTTTTCAAGTGATGGGAACTGTACAGTACTACTTTAAATTCCTTTGCTTTGAAAAGTCAAGTAGTTCTCAAGAAGCACAGTTGAGCTCTGGAAAGGAGGTGAAACTAGATGTGGGTAACTAATATGACGGCTTAGTTTCCCTTCAGAACTGCAAAGACTCTTAGAGTAGGTTGAGTTTTACGTTTGGAAACATGAGTGCCTTTACTTCTTTCCTTATGAAATATACTTGCCAGCTCAAATGCCTTCTGAGCAAAGTACATGAGGAGATTTGAAATATAGAAACCATAAACGGATTGCTTCATAGAATTTGTAGTAAACCAGTGATTGCTTTTCCTTTTAAGGTGCCATATCAAGTCACATATGGCCTGCAAGACATTCCGCTGTAGGAAATGTCATTGTACAACTAGTTTGCTATTTCTCTTTTTTTTTAATATTAAATGCAAACTTGAAACTTCTGGAAATGTTTTCCACGTGGCATTTTTTTTTTCCAAAGTATTGCATTTACAGTGTAACAATTTATAGCCTAGTTTTTATACTCAAATTTATGATTTTTAATAGATGATTGTTCAGAATAGGTGTTCAAAGTCAGACAACTCTACCATACGCTTTACGCACGCTTTAGGCTCACACTGTGCCAAATTTAATGTGCAAGTGTTCTTGGATTTTTTGCATTTTTAAAGCACTCATGAATGTGAATCTTCACACTTTGTTCATTAATATTATTCTTAAGAGTACCGTAATCATTGGAAGTGTAGATACTCTCCCTCTGTGTTCCTTTATTGGAATTGATATTTACCAGCATTAATGTTAGTCCACAAAATCCCATCAGTGACCAACATAAAAACAAAGTGTACAGTCTCCTGTCTACTGAAGGGAGAGCTTGGTAGGTACAAATTAACCAGCTAGCACAGGGAATGCTGTAAGTAGGGAACAGAGCTTTTGAGCATGGACAGCTTCTTATCATTGCAGAATCGCTTCAAAATGTGTGTTGCAATAGAGTACATTCTTGCTGAAATGGCTCCATTTTTTTTTTGGTAATGAAGAGAAGTGAAAAAGGTGCCGATTGGAGAAAGCATTTGCATTTCCCAGAACACTCTGCCTGCAGCCAAACATCACAAGCATGCCATCATACAGGAGCAGAAACCATTTTAAACTAGGGTACAGTTTGTGCAGATAGCTACTGAAGCTAGCGTTGTGGTATCCTATGAGAATTTTGGTGAGCTGTAGGTGGATTTATTTTCATCAAGACTGAACTGAAACATATATTCTTTGTCCTAAAGCCTTCATTAAAATGAAGAGGCTGTGCTTTCAGCTTTAAGAGTTAAAGAATTGCCACTATCAGCTCTTCCTATGTATTAAAAAAACTTTAAGGATGGAAAATCAGTGACTGTAAACAACTATAAATGTAGGTCTATAAATTTAGAACAGATCAGAACAGAACAAAAAGGAAAACATTTTGTTTCTCTGTTACTTGAGTGCAGAAGGTCAAAGTACCAGATTCTTCAAAAGTATCGTTGTTCGTAGTGATGCCGATAGATGTTTTCATGGGATTTGGAAAAAGCAGCTAGTTGCCTAAATTTCAATGGGAATTTAAGCACCTAGACACTGAGCAAAATCCTACAAGGTGCCCACTTGCATTTTTGAGTCAGATTTTTAAAGATACTTAGTCACCTAAATTCAGTAGAATAAAATCAGTTTCCATAGAGATTAAAGGAATAATGTGTAGCAGATCCATGTGATTTGCAGCGATTGTTAATGAAATGGGTTGTTTTGGGGACTTAATATAGGCTTAAGAAATCTTTCCCAAAGCAGTTAAACTGTAAGCTGCTGCTCTTGCAGAACAGGTTCTCGATGTTTCTCATGCATGTGTGTTTTCCATGAACGTAGGCATGCATATCAGGCTCATGTTCCAGAGTTTGGACTCCCTTTTAGAAGAGCTGGATTATTTAACCTCTACTTGCAGAAAATATTTATTGGTGGTAGCAAGTGGATAGCTTGTGTCCGGACTAAAAAGTTTTGGCCAGAAAGAAATACTGCAAATCTTCTTGATTTCAAGTGATGTTCTTTCAGTTACTTTCCTTAGAGGTTTGGATCCTTCTCCCATAAATAAGGGGTGATGTTGCACAAAATGGAGGGAGAGGGGAGTGGATTCATTGTAAATGAACTTCCCCAGAGCTGATCTGAATCTAAAGCTGTAAGAATTGGTTTGCCATTAGTGATCATGCCAAGAGCTGGACAAAAATGTCAGTTTTCACTATCTGAACTTCAGATTTATTCTCCCTAATGTCCCCCAGCACTATGTTTGTCTGAAGAGATGCATCCACCAGCTTTTCCACATTTGGGAATTGTAGATGAAAATTCTTATCTCCAGATGAAAATGAATTTAGCATTTCATACCTACTGCATAGATCACAGGTGTGGGAGATGGAGAGAGCACAGTAGTATGAGGAAACTTTAGGAGCATCTTGATCAGTGTTAATTTATCCCTTAGAGCACATTTCCTGGCATGCGGTCATGCTGCTGCTCCCCCAACACACATCAGGTCTCTCTTGCAGACATTTAGTCCTTCTGCTGCTCACCAGGAGCAAAAATTGTCATTTTCCAACCTGCCGCCACCACCACCCTGCATCAAGTGCTTCCTGTCTTCCCAACTCACAACCCCTAGCAGTCATGCAGGGACAACCTCCTAGCCTTAACCTTGTAAAACAATGCTAGGTTCCTATATCACCATTTGCTATTGAGTTCAGAGGGTCTTTCTCATGTTCAGAAACACTTAATTGCCATATTAGGTTATTTCTGGACAGGAAAATTCTAAATCTGGTTTGAAAGGATGACACTCAGTACTTCCTTACAATATTTAGGTAGCATTTGCCAGTAGCGTGTCAGATCCCATCTTTGGAGTTACAGTAAGAATCCAGTGGATCCACTAAGGAAACACTTTCTTTGGCAAAACTCCCCGTGCTTGAGCTGTTCAGCTGTGCAGGTTTCCTTGAGGGGCATCTAATGGGGGATTTGAGGTCCTCTTGTGCCAGGCAGGCTTACAGGGCCATTGGGTCGGCAGTTCCTCGGGTGCCTTGCAGCTGGGCAGACTGCGGCCAGCCTCTGGAACAAGTGGATTTGGGTTTTTCGCTTATCTATGGGATAAATCCAAATGCACGCCATGGAGTGACTGCTCGAGACGTAGGCAGGGTTGGCTGTTCCTACGGGTACTGAGTATCATCAGGGCTCGTGGAAAATAGAAATCTGAGTCCTGTTCTCATTCCTGACAGTAGTTAGAGGTGGTATTGAAGATGCCAATTAATATACTAATTGTGGGGAGCAAGCCACGCTGTCAGCATCAGAAGGTACAGACCACAGGCGCTCTCGAGGGGACACAATGCGCGCAGGAGGAGTTGGCATGTTGGTCAGTTGAAGAAACTTCACTGATGTGTCCGAGAGGTTCTTGTGTTCTCCTGCGTGTGCGTAGGGGAGATGGTGGGAGATGCCTCCTTCCGAGGTGTCCAGAGGGCTTCTGTAGGACAAGAGCTGGGATCCTTTCCTTACTCCACAGATGGAGCAGGGGAAGGGAACCATTCACTTCTGCCCGAGAAAAATGTGCCGCTGTTGAATTAAATTTTCTTGCCCCCATCAGCCCTTTGAAGGGAGTTTTCAGGCAAAATGCGTGAATCACCAAGTATTGTGTCTCTAGCCGAGGGGTCTGGGGGGCAGCGACAGCAGCGGGTCCAAACACACACGGTCCAAAACTGTTTCTCATTCCCCACTTCACGCTCATGTCGTGCCACCAGACCCAAACCTCTTCCCTCCAGCCCGGCTGCCACGTGCCCGGGTGGCTGCAGGAGCAGCCCACTCGGGGTGGTGGGAGATGCGTCTGCTTTTGGGGGAAAAATAATAATAATTAGGCTACAGCCCTTGGACTCTGTGAGGCGACGCAGTCAGAAATCTTCACGACTGTGACCAGAACTGGATATAAACTGTAGCTTAAAAAAATAGGAATTTTGTAAACTTGAAATCTCTCGGTTTTACCCTTTTCTCCTTTTGCTGGAAAGCCACACGATGAATGTATATGCTTTATCTTTCTATCCGACATAACTGAAAATCAGACTGCCAACTCCTTGTTTTGTATTAGCCTTTTTTTAAAAAAAAGAAAAGTTTGTGAGCGATATATGTAGCATGCTGTGAACGTCTGTTTTGATCTTTATAGTTACTCTTTAATCCATCAGTATTAACACCAGTTCTTTTTTGTGTTCCCCTTGGTACTTCGTATGCAGTGTAAGCAGAAGCTGTGATCGGCTTTGCAGTCCTGTGCCGTGTTACTGTAACTCCTTGATTTTTTAGGAAGCACCTGACTGTGGGCCACCCTGGGGCAGGCAGCGTGCCCGTACACGACTGCCACTTTTTGGTCTCTTGTACTATGTATAGTTTTAAGTAGAATAAGCTTTTTAACAGAATACTGATGCGGTTTATGAGTCTCG